ATATATATATATATATATGCTCAACGTCACTCAACCCACAAGTCTCACCAGCTCCACACAAGTATGACTACTACCTAGGAATATCTGAAAAGTACTTGTAAAGAACAAGATATGCCCCTTTGATTAGGAAAGTCAGGATACAACATGGCAGACAAGAAGTGTTTTCGTTTTCATTTTTGAAAAACTGACATGAAGCATGCAGAAGAATAATACATAAAGCAACTCAGTTACATTAAGCTATTTCCTGTTCATTTTTGTAATTTTTTTTACCTAACTCAGAAAATCCCCATAACTCAGCCTTACCTTTGTTGGGTGTGGAATTTAATACCAGAACAGAGAAATGTCAATTTCAACAGGACTCATACGGCGAAACTCAAAACCAACGATTTCTAAAGCTTGAAAATGCTCAAGTTAAAAAGAGTATAAAATGGACTAGAAAGTGCATTCACTGGCTTTAGGTAGCCTGTGTTCGTTTTCAGTCTTCCTTCTTGTCAAGTTCATCGATTGCAGCAAGTCTTTCAACAAAGGAGGATGAGAATAGTGATAGGCAGAATACCAAGGATCAGTATTCATAGCTGACAGGTTCTCTTCCTGAAAAAGCCATTATTAGCTCGGTTAATCAGCAATTCAAACACTCATAACATTATGAAGTCCTATAACAATTATGAATTTATTATAATATGTTTAGAATAGAAGTATTTGACCACCCATAGTACTATTAAAAGAGATGAGGCTTTGGTCTAGCACAACTGTTAATCATATTATCTTATGCATATATCAGAACACAACTGTATTGCAAACACACAAATGCTATGTGGCCCATGACAGGACAAGAAAAAAAATACTTGGTTATTAATATTATTTTCTTACCCCGCCCTGCTCAAGATGCATGAAGGTTCTGGCTCAAACAGAAGATAGTAACTAAGTAGAAATGAAACTGAAAGAATAAATGCAGAACTGAGCAAAGTCTACTAAAAGCAGATATATGACAAGAAATTGTGACTCAAGAAAACTTTTCTTCAACGTAGTTATCACATAAGCCCAATAGCATGTGTCAAAGTGCACTAACCTAGTATGAGTTTCTTGTTTCCCTATACAATATCGTTTCCTGCTACATTCACAAGAGAGAAGTTCAATTCCTTTCCAATCCGTATAGCTTGGTTGCAATTCTCAACTTTTCTGAAAGGCATCTTGATGGGAGGTTTTGTTGCTTGCTTCCAGTTTACTGATCCTAGGTAAACTTTGTCAAGAACTTCCAATATAACCCATCTACATGTAAGAGGGATAAAAATCAAACAAAATTAATAAGCACTCAAAAATAGGGCAAGGAAATTGTAACCTCAGCCTGTTCTGACATCCTCAAACATATTATTGACATATGAATCAACTCCAAGACTGTTAATCCACAGTCGGAAGCATCTCTCCTCCCTAGAAGTTTGAGCATCATCTATCATCATCTCAGAAAAAGACATTTTTGGTGTCCATGGATAAGCCATTCCTGCATTAAGAGTGTTATATATATTTTTTTGTTATTTAATTATGTGAATCCGTGGTCCTAAATCGATCCAATCCGTGTTGAAATGGATTGGTTCGGATTGGTTCCAAGATTTAAACGGATCGGATTGGTTCCGATTTTTCAGGAACCGTAGATAACGGATTGATCCTGATTTTATCCCAATCCGGTCCAATCCGGACCATGCTCACCCCTAAATGTACCTGGTACTTGTTGGAGCTTAAATTCTCCAAAGTGAGCAATGCAAATGGATTTAAAGTAAGCGTCAACAGAGCTTCAATTCCAAGTGAGCATCAACAACATCAACCTTAGGAACACAAAAAACAACACCCACCCAAAAAAAAAAAAAAAATCACTTCAAATAAGCATGGAATCCTAAGTCCAACAGACAAAAATTTTCAGTCAAATACATTAAAATTTTCAAACAGAGAAGATCGAAAACCATCGACGCCGTTGCTACTCTGTTCTTCCCTTCTTTTGTCTATGGAGATTGGGAGATCTAGGGCTGGAGTAAAATGAGAAGAGGAGTAAGATGTGATTGTGGGGCGACGCCGTCGTTCATGAATGTCGGCCAATGTTGCTATCACTCTGTTCTTTCCTTTTTTTCCCTTTGGTCGTCAATGGAGATTTGGGGCAAAGAGGAGTGACCTTTGAGCTTGTGAGTCTGTTTGCCTCCGTTAGCTTTTTAAGCCCCGTTTGGTAGAACAGTGGGAAAATAGTTATAACTTATTGTCTAACAGCTTATAATTTATAACTGTAAACATAAGTTGATTTTTTACTTATAAATTAAGCTTCTCCTCCCTCACTCAAAGAATAAGTTAATTTTTGACTTACAAAAAAGTATAAGTTGTATTATTAAGCTGAACCAAACACATCAAAATAGCTTAAATTAAGTTAAAAGCTGAAATAAGCTTAAAATAAACTCTACCAAACAGGGCCTTAGTCCGATACTTAACTTATCTCCCCCTTGTGGCGTGGCAGCTTGTAGCCCATTAGATCTGTTCTTCACCAGGTGTTGCAATCCTGTTAAATGTGCTGGATAGTGCTGGAGGGAGAACTGCTGGAGAGGATCGGGATGTAGAGTTTGTAAACGACCAATGGAAGGAGACCATAGTTTTGGGTTTGCAAAAAAGAACATGGGTAAAAATGACTCTTTCATTAAATTTTTTTTTTTTGACTCATTTTGTGAAAATTTTAAATTGTTTAGTTCTATAAGAAATTTGAAATTGTAATAGACTTGCTTGTAAATAATTAGTCATATATTTTCTTCAGCGTCATAATTCCTTTAATAAAACAGATGCTGTATTGATTTTTTTGATATTTTTGTCTATAATTTATTCGGTGGTCATTTCAGGTTTGCTTTAGTAGATTTTTTATTTTTTATAAAAAGATATGAAAAAAAATAATAAAGAAAACGTGATAACTTATAACAAATAAGTAAATAAGTTGTTCATTATAATAACTCCTATTTATTTAGTAACTTTTCAAAATCAATCTCAATGTATTTTAAAAAGTGTTTCTTTATGTACATTTTTTTTTTATTTTATAACTTACATAGATATTTTTTGATAAATAAAAAATAAGAACTTGTTTGGTCTCTTATCTATCTAAAAAATATTAAATATTTAAAATATTTTATCAAATATTTTATTAAATATCTTACATAAATATAAATATAAAACTCACGTATCATTTCAACGTCCGCTGTACTATGGTAATAATTAATCCCAAATAGACAGATACAATACGGCTTTGTCTTTGTCAGTCCCAAATCCTTTAAAGTGTCGACCTAGCAACATTGAAATGATAGTCTTTCAAAAGACTTTTCCAAATACAAATACAAAACATTATCCCCATTCTTTTCAAATACCGAAAATAGCTAGCCGTGAAAAGATCGGCTTCTAAAGTTAGTTCACGATAAATTTTACATTTATGAAATATTTAATAAAATATTTAAAAATTTTAACATTACTCTATCTTTCTAGTCAAATGTTGGATGGTAGGCCGTTATGTAATTATGATAATTACATAAGCTTATTTTGAGAAGATGGTAAAAAGTGATTTTTTAACTTTTAACTAAGCTTTTGACTTTTTTAGACAAATAATTTGAAAAGTTGATAAAAAGTGACTTTTGACTTTTTTTCATTAATATTTGTTTATAATGTCAAATCATAATGAAATGACCAAAGTATCCCTAGCCAATTGAAAAATTACACATTTTTACTCTTTCATTTTCCATCTATGGAGGGTAATTTCGTAATTTTTCTTTTGGCTTATAACCAACATCCCAAATCAATTTATGACAAAAAAAATTCATTTTTTGCGTTTTGACTTTTTGCCAAAACGCCACTTATAACCAACATTCCAAATTGAGCCATAATGTCTTAAAACGTTTATAAATTTTATGAGATGATAGAATAAAATAAGAAAGAAAAATCCATAAAACAGTTCAAAAAGTCTTCAAAAGATTACCGAAGTCGGCATTGGTTCATAAATTTCATTCTGCTTCTTCATTGTGCAAAATGGAATTCCACTGGAAAACTATGTTCAAGTTGATTGCCTGGTTATATTCTTGGTTTCCATTAACAAGCCTCTTGAGGCTGAAAGGAGTCCGGATCCTCTCCAGCTTCTCTCTCCGGTTCATCCTCCAGTCAACGGCTCAGATAGAGCCAGATCAACTATAAATAAATAAACAGTTCTGATTAATTATTTTAAAAAATAAAATAAAATACATACTCTCACTAACACACACACTCACTGCACACACACACACACTCCTAATCTGTCCCTTTATCTCTCTCCATCATTTCTCGCTGATACATCACAGCACACTCACACTCTCTCTCTATCACATTTCTAACTAAAAAAAATTAAAATCACACTTTCTCTCTATATCACGTTTTTAATAAAAAATAAAATACTATTTTAATCTTTTTGATTTTATTTTCATAATATATATATACATATAATTTTTAATATAAAATTTTAATTTTTATAAAATTAATATCATTGAAACTATACTTTTAAAATAAGATTAATATTAAATATATTTAATAAAAATTTAAAATAAATAAAAAGTAATTACTATGTTTAGTTATGCTTTCAAAGTATTATTTTTAAAATATAAAAATTATTTTGATGAAGTAAACACACAAAAATCATATATTTTTAAAATTCTCAAAAATAATTTTTGTTCCAAAAAAAATCATATGAAAATAATTACACAAAAATCATATATTTCATGTGGGCTCCGCACTCTCCTTCGTGAATGGCCTCCATAAGGCGCTTTGATTCCTCTTCTTCAACACATAGTTTATGCATTCCCAGATGACCTCTTTTGTATAGCTTACCCCCTCAGATGATAAATTGAACAGCTAGATGCCATATTTCCCTTTTGTCTTTAGCAGTTGCTCCTGGTGGATACACCTTATTTTTAGAAAATTCCAACTATCGTAGTACCAGGAGTTCTTGTCTGAAGCCTCATCTATCATGGCAACAGTTTCATAGGCCGGTGTGTACTTCTATTCAATAATGATTAGACGTATCCTGACTCCCAATGGAATGTCTACCATAGAAGATAGAGTTGTTAGTGCATCAACGAATCAGTTGTTCTCCCTTAGCAGATGGGTAAACGTTAGCTTTTCAAACCTCGAAATTAGCATATCCAAGACTTGATGGTAAACCTTCATTTTCTCCTCTTTAACCCTTCAATCTCCGTTGGCTTGAGACACAACCAAATTCGAATCTCCGATGACGTCCAACCTTTTTGCTTCTCGTTCCAGGGCGGCTTCTAAACCAGCAATACACGCCTCATACTTTGCTTCATTGTTGGATACTTTGAACTAGAGTTTGAAGGCTAAGGGTAAATGGGAGTCATCGGGTGCTATCAGCAGCACACCAATCCCATAACCAAATTGATTGGCTGCTCTGTCACAGTACATCATCCACATTTCCTCCTCTATTTATAGAATATCTTCATCTGGGAAAAAGTACTCCACCGCTTCATCCCCTTTTACTAGGTGATCTGCAAGGAATTCCGTTACAGCTCTCCTTTTAACTGACTTGCATGTAACATATTTAAGATCAAATTTAGAGAGAAGAAGCAACCAACGAGCTAGCCTACCTGTAAGCGCTGGTTTCTTTTCAATGATCTCGGCTAGGAAGGATAACACTTGACCTAGCTGTGCCACACCTCGGTCTAGGTCATACTAGTCCAGGAACAAGATCACTAGGTGCAAGGATCAGGGATCTAGGACGCCTATACGATAACATCTCGGCCTAGATGATGCATATCTCGGCCTAGGCGATGCACACCTCGGCCTAGATGATGACATCTCGGCCAATATGCCAGGGTGAAAGTGGGGGTCAACCGAAGTGGTTCCAAGATGGTCCGAGGTGTTAGAGGTTCTAAGGAGTGACCTAGGCTTAGCTCACCAAGCAAGGAACAAAGCATACAAGCAATACTTAGCAAATCACATAAGCACAAAACAAGACAAGGGCCTTTACTTAGGCAAAACAATTCAAAATCTACAAGTGAAAGCTTAACAAAACAAAATCATGCAGATGCACATGAACATGTCTAAGATGACGATAAGGGTCATTACAGAGGAATAGTGAAGTCCAATCGCTCCGTTCGCGAGAGGAGGAATATCTGAAGTCCAATCGCTCCATTCGCGAGAGGAGGAATATTTGAACTCCAATCGCTCCATTCGCAAGAGGAGGAATATTTAAAGTTAAGCTTGAGATGCACAAAATAGTGCGATGTGAGAAATTGGGGTGCACAAGA